CGGACCCCGGCGCCATACGCCGAGTACGCTGAGTACGCCGGGTACGCACCATACGCGTACGTCTGGGAGTGTGCCGCAGGCGGATCCGGACGTGGCAACAAAGCCTCGATCCGTCGGATCATGCGAAAGGCCTCGTCCAGATCGGACGAAGAGGCCCGGCGATCCACCCGCAGGTGCAGGCTCGCGACCTCTCGCTCCAAAAGGTCCAGGCGGCCCGCAAGACGAGCGAGCTCGCCCTGATTCCCGGCCTGGGCGGCAGCATCGCCGCCAGTCCCAAGGCCAAGTGCAATCTCAAGCACGAGGACACGTTGACGGAGGCGGTCAACCTCAGGGCCCTGTGTCGGACCCGCAGTCGGAGCATTCGGACGAGAGTGGCTTTCGGGAGGCGCCGAGTACTCGTACTCGTACGAGGGCACCTCCGCCCCTGCTTGACCGGAATGGAGAAGTCCACTTCCACGTGGAGCGGATCCTCCAGGAGCAACGGCGTCGCGGTAAGCGACAGCTCCTCGTGAAGTGGAGGGGTTATGCCCACTCCGAGAACTCGTGGGAGCCGATTGAACTGCTCCTGATTGACTGCCCGAAGGCTGTCGCAATCTGGGAACAGAAGCGGCGGCAGCTTCATAAGTAATCTGGGGCTTCTTGCCCGAACGGGGTACGGACGATGAATACATTCCGTACCCGCGCTCATCGTGAGCGCTAGAAGTCGCGCGCTTTAGGACGTCCCTTGGCAGCATGCGCTTGCTGATCAAGTGGGCAAACCTCACACGAAGATCACGCTGGTCCAGGATACGGGACAGCAGCTGATCTTCATGGAGTTCCCGTAACTCCGTGGGTGAGTACTTAAGAGTCTCCACCCATGCCCAGAACATGTCCTCACAAGAACTTCACGAGGGACAGCTCTCGGGCATAACCCAGGGGTATCCCCAAAGAGGATAGAGACCACCCCGGGTCTCGGGCTTCTTACGACAAGTCGTGAAGTCCTTGAGAGGGATGCGGTGTGGCGCGAGAAGCACACACCGAGCAGCCTCCATGTTGTCAACGATCAACTGTTCTTTCGGAACAAGGGCACGTTCGTAGATGCCCCTAGAAGTGTGGCCGCTCACAAGGCCATGAGGAGCGACGAGAACCTCTAAGAAGAGGTCAGCCTCAGAGCTCTCCTCGGGAGGCCAATACCCTCTTGAGTTGATGGCAGCTCCCTGGCTGACGGGTGCCGCCACCGAATTCCCACGCACACGCTGGGCAGCTTGTAAATCCTCCTGCTGCTGGTCGAGGTCATTCGAGACCTCCCGGGGCTCAACGATAGCACCCTCCTCCTCCTCTTCTTCCTCCTTCTCCTCCTCTTCATCCGAGGAGTCGAAGATACTCTGATAGGAGCATCGAGTCTCCTTCTCCTCGCGGAGTGGAGACTTAGAGGCTGTACGCTTCTTTGAGGACTTGGCGCCTTCGGCTTTAGAGGCCTTAGCACGCGCAAGACCCTCGGCAAGCGAGAGACGTTTGCGAGGATTCTCTTCCTCATCGCCACCGGCTTTGGGAGTGCCCTTAGCCTTGGCGGCCGGACTCTCGGAGCGCACAGACGTCCTGGGACTGTGATCACCTTGATCACTAGCGAGCGACTGCACGCTGTCATCCTTGTGCTCACTGGGCACTGGGCTGTGCCTATCCGCAGAGCCCGCAGGAGCATCGTGCGTGCTCTCGGACTCGGCTTCGTCCTCACTGCCAGCGTTGAACTCACGTTCAACGAACCGAGGGTTCGGACGATTGTATGGAGAGGCCGAGGGCGACAAGCTGCGGCGCTTGCTTGTTCGCTTGCCCACAGCCGCGTCACCGGAGGAACCGATCGCCTCGGAGGCCACCTGAGTAGCCTCCTTGAGTGCCGAGCCTTTGCCGTGAGGCTTAGTGCTCTTAGTTTGCGCTTTACCGGCAGCAGCCTTGGAGCGTGTCTTAGCACCGCTCTTTGCAGTGCCACGAGGCATGGTAACGGTCGAATTGGAGACCTAGACGAAGAGCGCACAGGTTGCTGCTCGAGGCTCTAACTGTGAAGTGAGCCTCCGCCGCGCTCGCGCGGCCAAGTCGATCATTTTCGACTTTGAGAATGAGAGTTTGTGACGAGCACCATTTCACTCTGATTGGTCGGTAAACCGAACCTAAGTGGGGGAGGAATTAACGGGGTACGTAGCCCTAAGTGTTTTCTGGTTACATGAAGTGTGACACTTCACACTTCAGGTGTATGACACGTCATACTCCGGGATATTTGGTACACGGTACCAAGGTCGTTCAAAGCCAACCATTGGTCAAACGACATTGCATTTCTATTGGTAACTTATAGTTTGTATAAAACCCAAACTTAATCTACCTATAAATATACTCAGCTTACAATCTACCTTATTTAGGTCACTTCGCTCTCTTTAACTAAAGAGGGGACCTGTGAACTGCCGTTCACTGAGAGTTTGTATACTCTCGGAAGATAACTTCCTCTAGCGCAAGGTGCTGTGTGACCCCGTCACAGTATGCGACAAAACTTTGTCGCATACAATACAGCGTTTCGAAAAATAAAAAAGGTGTTTGGTTGAGGTTAAGCGGTGGTTAATAGTAATTGCACTCTGCCCCACATGAATCCTCCTGTGACGAGGCTTACCCCCCCCAGCCATCATTGGGGTCATTATGTTTGCGAATAGAATGGAGTAGCACGCAGCAAGCTAATACAGGTGCAATTCCCATAATTGATGCTCTATCATCTGATATGGCGTGATAAATGATCAAAAATTGCCATTTCACGATCTCCCGTTTTGCTTATATTGGAATTTGTATTGGCCTTAATATTATCTGTCTTAGCTGATATTTAATAGAGATCGGCTACCTCGATGATGATTTCAAATTGGCTTAAAGTGCGAGGTAATGAGTTGCTGCTTCTTGCGCACAAGCTTCTACTTGTTGTACTCGAACAAGCTCCTGTTCAAATAGCTTCTAGGGATGCATAGCGCTTCTGTGGAATCGTTCTCAGCCATCAATTTGCGGAGAACGACATCCATCGCAGCAGCGAATTCAGCGTCATCAGGGATTTCATGCTGCTCATTTTCGTCGTCATCCTCGATGCTATCATCACCATCCACGCCCATCACTATGTCTACAGCTTCAGAGTCACTGTAGGCAAAATGCACTTCATTTTCACCTGGCGGATTCAGGATATCATCAACAGATGAGCAGCTTGAAAGCTGCAAAACCTCAACGGCCTGGACAATATCAGCCAGAGAGGCTTCCATTGAACGCTGAACTCCTAGAGGATAAACTCTTGTTGATGACGCGTAGTCACAAGAATATCCACACTTCCTCCAACAGTTGACAATGTATCGCACGACACTTCATTCCAGGCTGGTTTTACCCATCGCATCGCAGTCAAAACGTCTACTTTGAACCAGTCCTTCTCGTTTCTGTCAGTCGCAGCTACAGCATGTATAAGCTGTAAACGTCTGTAGTGGGCTTTGACGCATCCAATTATGCCTCCGTCCAAAGGCTGAAGTATGACCGTAGAATTGGGTGGAAGGAATACAATTTCGACATGAGAGAGCTCCACATTCACGTGTGACGAAGCATTATCAATCAAAAGGATAATTTTTGTCGTTGTGTAGCATCTGAGCGTTAATTCGTTCCAACCAATCACGGAAAATCACGGTTGTCATCCACGCCTTTTTGCTCGAGTAGTAGTGCGTGAAACCTAGCTCAAGAGGGGTCTTTTTCTTAGAAAGCACGGGGCTTTTTAGCATGCCCAATGAACAACGGTTCGAGCTAGCAGGTGCCTTCCATATTGACAGCTAAGCCAATAGTGATCCTAGTCTTGTCGCGCTTGCTCCCTCGAAGCGAAGCATGCCCTTTTCCAATTGTAGTTGTAGGCGCGCGGCGATAAAAAAGCCCAGTTTCATCGAAGTTAAAAATCTTGGCAGCAGCGTAGCTATCCAACTTAGGCTGTATGCAAGCCAGAAAGCTGACGGCAGCTTCACTTTCTACGCTTGCTGCTTCCCCATTCAGACGAATGCGTTTAAAGTCATGCCGTGCTTAAAAAGCACTAAGCCAACCAGCTGAAAACGAAATCTCCTTGCCTGTCACTCCACGCTCCTTCAAAGCTTCGTACAGCTCCCTTGCCTTGGTTTAAATGATCTCGTCAGAAATGGGTACGCTGTTCGCCTGCTTATCATTAACCTAAAGAGCAAGAGCGGCATCTAGTTCTGGGTACGTGACTGCTCGGTTTGACTTTCGATCAGGAGCAATCAGCATGGCTGGTGACTTCTTGAAGCGTCGCAGAATGTTTGATATTGTACCTTGTACAGAAGCCTTTTCTAGGCTGAACTTGACACGACACCACTCCGCTAACTGGTTTTGGGTCAGCTTTGGCTCACGTTTGTGCTTGTCGTACAGCTGCATTTTTTCTCCTTCAGTGAGGTTGCCCACGCGAAGAACACGAGGCTTCGACTGCATGCTAGACGGTCGCTGTGAGCTGTGCGTTGTTGAATGCAGCTTTTCTAGGCCAACAGGCTTGTTGTGTGGACCACTTCACTTTCTATGAAATGATATCTTTGCCTGAAATGATAATTGATCGCCGCCGTGGCGTCTCCCGCGATATTTATTTGTGGGAGTTGAACCTGTACTATTTAAGCTTGTGTTCTGACGCGGAATTCAGACGGCGTCAGCAATACTCGAAATCGGCTCTTTACAGCTCCAAACGCGAGCTCGATAACATTTCGAGCTTGTGCGTGACGTAAGCTATATAACTACTCGTAGTTTTGTGACGAAGTATACATGATAATTAAGTTAAAATACTGTTAATTAAACGTAAAGCTCAAAATATCACATCTCATTAACCTGACCCCATTCGCAGAGGTGGTGACGAACACCCCGATACGATATCAGTACCTCATTTGTTAGACCATATCCTGTGCACCAAGGTCGAACAATCCTAGTGGCGCTATGAAACCTTATCGTGCACAATATTTTAAACGTTTCCTTGGTTACACGATTGCTTCTAATGATTCGGTGTGGGTGCCTTCGTCCAGTTCTGCGACCCATGCAGGCCCGGTCAGCGCGGATATATGGCAGGCTTCTTTCCAATAGTAGGGGCTACCATGATAGGCAGCGATTAGCGCCATTATCTGCGCAACAGACTCCAAGTCGTCGTCAGGTGGAGTGGCTTGGTTGTTCATCTTCTGACACAAACGGGGGGGAGCTAATTTTGCCAGCCCGTTTGGATCCTAAAAATACGATAAAATAAGAAATTTCGTTTTTGTGCCGCCAAGCGGTTCGTTGACGCATCATCGCTCGATGGAGATTGGAGAAGGGTATGACACGAAAGACAGTTCTGAAAGGTCTAATTTTTCACCATATTCACTCCGAGTCGCACTTCTATTACGACTGGCATGTCAATAAAGGCTATATGATTGTGACGCTGCATTGGATTGATGAAAAACATTAACCCCTGTCATTTTTCAAAATGGAAGATTATATGTTATACTCGGGTTTCAAAGCGTTATGTACCCAGGCACTGGTAAACGACTTGCTGGTCATCCTCTTGACGTAGTCAACTGGATGGACGGCTCTCTACTTTCGGCAAATTTGACTAACACTACGGATAACACTAAAAGTAACAAAACAACGGGTTCGATCCGCGCCAAGCTCCCCAACGCGATCAAAGCCTTCACACCGTCGCCAATGCCTTCCTCAGCCGCTGCCATGTCTATCGCACATCCTCAAATCGCCGAAGAACCACAAAATGTGCTCTAAGCTCGCTGCCTACCTAATATGCTCCACTTGCTGTCAAGCAAGGCCTCAAAGACTACTCGACTGTTGATACGAGAATCGGTACCATGCGGGATATCTTGAAAAAAAAAACTAACAATCTCTACTTCTCTAAACAAAAAGTCTCAACGAATATGTACCGCTTGGAAGTTTTGTTTCTTCAGTATTAGGCTGTCTATGTAACGGGGTTGTATGGTGTGGATCACACAGTGATACGGAGTACCCGGAGAGCTAACAAACGCTCAGTACATAAGTTGGAGAGCTAACAGACTCTCAGCATAAGTTGGAGAGGTAACAAGGTCTCTCAGTACGTTGGCTGAAAGCCACACGTTATGCATTTGATCAGATTTAACTATGCTAGATAGTTAAATAGATACATTTACCCCTAGGTGGCTTGGCCGCAATAATAGTAAATAAAACACTTCTGGTTTTGAAGCATTTAAGTTAAGGTATTAACTTTGAGCCCTGGTCTTGGTCTGTAAGTGTCCTTTGAATAGCGAACTTAGTAGGTGACTCTTTGAGTCGAACGTCTTCCTCTGCCCCTAAAGCTACGGCAGCCCCGCCGGCGCTTTTGTGGCAGCAGTCCAAGCCTTACATTTTGCTTCCAGAGCGCTCCAAATAGCGCCAGCAATTGGTGCAGCCAGTCGATCATCAGGTCCGATGAAAATTCTTTGTAGTTCCATGGCAGTCTCGAATGCGACGTAACAGCTCTTTAACAGGGTTTATTTGTTGAATTGTTGCCAAATTCATTAGCCACTTGCTATTCGACAACATCGCGTCGCTCAACCACATTCTGGCTTTCTTCTTAGGGCAATTGCTTTAAATTACTTAGTAGGCGGGCTCACTTAACGAATCTGAGTAGGTGTCCACAAAGGTTACGCCTACTTCTTCTGGACAGTAATCACCTTCTCTGAGCCCGAATACCACCTCTGAGTTCTTAAGGTTTATTTCTCGAACAATCCAATTTTAACCCCTTATTTTCCATTTGTTGTACCGTACAGCATAAGAAAATTATTTACTTTGTTCGCAACATCTATGCTATGCTATACGGTACAACAAATGCGGAAATTAGGGTGGGTATTAGCACGCAAACAATCACGCGATTATGCAGAATCGCTCCGAAGAGAGGCTGACAAGAAATTATGCAGACCAGACTAGCAACACTACTTAAACAAAGAACCGTGAATTCCAAAATAAATCTTAGTTATTGTTAGCTATTTATGTCAAAGATATCACAATCAAAAATCCTTCACATTGGCGACCAAATCAAGGGCCCAGTTTAGTGCATGACCAGCCTGTTTATCTACGCTAAATTATCATCTGACTCAAACTCCCCCTCAACATCGACGGTTAGCCTTGCCTTCTTCCCAGCCGCCCCTGCTGAAGGTGGCAAGACCAGAATATTAGTCCGAGCTCTCGCCTGCACCTCGCTATACTTGCGCTTGAGCCAATCTTCCTGCCCAATTGTACCATGGGTACCGCCGTTGCTGTAGACTGCCAAACGCCTGGTCATGTTGAGAAGCGATGGTGGGGAAGGCCCAGTAGCCTGAAAGCCATTGACTGCGTTGTTTGCGCAGTCCATTATTGCCGCTCGGTAGGCGGAGCATGCAATTGCAGCGCATCCTTCACAGCCAGATTGAATGGCTTGAACACAGCAACATCCAAGTAGCTGGTACATATGTGTGGAGTTTGGCAACAAAGCAAGCAGGAAGATACCCGTAATGTAGGCAGTGTCAATGGTATCTTAAATGACATACCCCTTTTAAAATGATATGAATAATACATCAGTATGAACTGGACATCCGACTATTGAAGCAACCACACCGCGTACCGAGGTCAAGGTGCGTCGAGCTGTTGTCGAGCACCAGAGCTACAGGAAATTGAACATTGAGCTTCTGCTGCAAACATTTGCAACCAAAGACGGAAACCCCCTCCGTTACTACAGCTCTTGAGCACCAGTTAAGCGAGCTCCCGCGACAGAGAGAGTCAGCTTGTCGGTTTTGTATGAAAGTTTGCCTGGCATGATAATGAGCGGGGAGATCGCTGCACCTGTAGCATTCACTGTCGCTCCCACTATCACGTGAAAGTTAGGTCATATTTCCTTGCTCCAAACGTTTGACGAACATTTGAGCGCAATCACCGCATTTAGACATAAAAGATGTTTCATCCATGTTAAAAACACGGTCGTTGGAGGGTTTTAGCTTACTCAAGCGCTTGGTGATCGCGCTGAAGAGGGTGATAATAGAGTCAGCGTCCACCATATTCCGCACACGTGCAATCATTTGCGCAGCCCTAGGCACCGGTATTGGGCGGTGAGTCAACCGCCGGTGACAGATGAAACGTCCGTACCAATTGTTGGTGTGCGGCCGGAAAAGCGTTTTGGTTCTCGTGGTCTCGTAGACTTTCTCGGGCGGTCTACTATGGGAAACCAGCACGTTGCATACCGACAACCCACGCTACCACATCAGCCTCCTGCTCTGAGAGAGGGCTGGAGCTGGGCCACGGTGATTCTCGACAATCTTTCCCGTAGTTTAAAGCCCCTCTCTTACTTTCAAAGAGCGTATGGAGTGGGGCCGATGACGTGCGAGCAGCAGAGATGAAGCTCTCCCCCTCGTTGCTCTGCCCAGTGCCTCATTAATGGCTCTCATACTGCTTGGTTTGGCGGGAACACTGTCCCGATTCAGACAGGGACGCCTCACCCACTACTAACGTGCGGTAGCCAGTCATCGTATCTCTCATTCGTCAAAATACCAGAACGGAAGCAAATTGCCCAGGCGATGATGAAAACGCCGCGAGCGTCGGCTTCATCGCGCAGAGCGATGTGATGGCGAGAAAGAGGCGAGGCCAAAGAGAGTGAAGAAGGCGTCGAGGTAGAAGCCCTCCAAATGCACAACTCCCGCGATGGATATTAGCCGGACCAAGTGCACGCGTCCTGCTGTGGTGTTGACGCCAAGGATGTGACGGCGGCTTCGGAGGCGTAGGACGGTTAGAGATGAGATGAGATGGATACTACATGTTTCTTCCTTGCGTCGTCGACGGAGATGCAAACATGAGGAGCATCGGTGCTCAGGGCTGCACGGGTCTAAATTCGGGCGATGATTCGTCTGAGGAATGAAGAACGTTAAGAAGCTATCATATTATAAAATAATTATAAACAATTATACCGCCAGCAATCCGTTATGACGAAGCAACTTTGCCATCCCGCTATCGCTACAACACAACGCGCCAGTCCAACAAGACGAAACCTCACAAGTGCGGAACGATAGTCTTCGTGGTCGCGTGTCCGAAGCCGGCGTACTGCATGAGGTTTGTGATTGGCCACAGGCCTCGGCTTGTTGCCTCTAATTTTGGTGCAAGTCCTTATGTTGTCTTTTGGTCGACATAAGAGATTTTATTAGTGAACGAGGATCAACTTATATGATAACATTTGTGATGTATTTACATAGATGAAGTGTATTTTGGTGCCAAGACAACCCTACAAACCGTTGTTCCTTAAGATAACAGCACTGGAAAGGATGCGGTTCTAAAAAACATGAACGCGATATTTCCTGCCTCGGCAACAACGCCGCGGCGTTTACTTACTTTTACACGTTCGCTAAGCTAGCTTTGGAGTTGCAACATTGCCATATTCTCCTGACTCGCACAATTGTGAAGTATAGCTAAGTGGTAAGGCTGATCCAGGCAATGTACTGGACACGCAAAAGACGCCGTCACGAAGAAGGATGAGATAACCGTTAACAAAAAAACGGTTCAAGCTCCACCTCAGCGAGCTATCAAGCTTATGAAGAAGAAGAGGGTTCCACAGATTACTATGGCTAAGCGAATGGATTGTAATCATGCCCATCTCATTAGACGGAGTAACTCGAAGTTGATCACGTTAGTACGTACCGATCTTCCTCATACTAAAATGCGTGATCTTAATTATTGAAGAGCGCGGGAACGGTGGAGAAGAACAGGACGCGTTACCCACGAGTTGGTCAAAGTTAACTAGGCGGCGTCGACATTCAGACCAGCTTAGGATGCAGAGGTATAGCATCCATCTTTGCTACAAGTCAAGTAAGTATCACGGAGCACTCCTCTTGGGTCAACTGGATATACTACGGCCAACGTCTTCATTCTCTTTCGCCATCAAGGGAAGGTGCTAAAGAAGAAGACTGCCAAGCTCTACACGCTTTTGGAGCAGCTCATGGAGCAGCTTATCGCAATCGATTCGCAGGAGGGGTACACAATAGTTAAAGTGAGTATATGCTGGACAGCTCTACATAGACCGAAGCACATTCTGGATCTAGTCAGCATAGCACTGTCCAATGATGCAGGTTGAGATTGCAGACTGCCACGAGTGCCCGTGAACGGACGTCGGCTTCACCTGTGCAAGAGCAGGAGCTTCCTGAGAAGAAAGGGGCATCGATAACGATCACGGAAGAAGACCACCGCCTTTAAGAAAACCCTGAGGCGAACAAGGAGTATGCACCGACAGATGTTATGCAAAGTTCGTGCGCTGTACAAGTGGAAGCCAACGAAGCATAACAAATGCTTCTGTTTGATTGCTGTCTAATGTTGGAGGAAAGACATGTTATAATTCCAACTGATAGCAGACCACTATCAATTGATCACAGCCAACGAACGGATGAAAAGGGCATACACTCATGCACCTAGACTGCAAAAAAAAAACACTCCAACCTTACCGCGCCTTGCAATTCGCATCACCTAAGGCGTTAGTAGCGACGCGTCGCCCTCTTCGCCTACTCCGTGATCTTCAGCACCACACGCCGCACCTGTAACCCCGCTTGGGTTGCCTTACTGGCCTGCGCCGCTGACACTACCCTCACCACCACTTTCGCTGCTATTCACCGTTTCTGCTGCCTTCACGCGACGATGTCGCTTCTTTCCTGTAAGCGAAGGCGGCGGGTGGTCTTGGAGCGCGTGCTTCAGGGGC